ATACACTTAGTAGTAAAAAAACGTCTTATTGATTTTCTCTGGTATTTATTTGCATTCCCCATTTACCCATTCAGATGTGACTTATAGAATATAGAATATAATAGAATCATTTAATGTCATTATACATAATGAAAGAAAGAAAACATACATTTATACATATTTCAACCGTTTCATAATATCACAATTTATAGTTCTTGGGCAGGGCCACCACTTGCGGACAGGCAAGGAAGGCAACTGCTTGGGGCCCCGGACCAGAAGGGGGCCCCCAAAGAAGGTACATTAAGAAGGTCCACAGCAACGATAACAAGAAACACCTTTTAATTTACTGCAACGACATGTCGGGAAACCCCCTCAATGCGGCTCCATGCATAGCGCGCCGTAAAATGCTGCTTCTTATCTTAAATTTCGTTGCCAAATAAAACCCTCTCTCTTTTCCTCCGTACCCAAATCTCTTAAAACGGGGCTACAACGGAGCTGATCCAGATTTGCGTCCGATATGAAGTAATATCGGAAATGTAGGCTGGCTTTACACCCACGGCCCTATCAGACACGTTGCTATCAGAAACAATGTCCGAATGTTTGGACGTAATATGATCGGTGCATGTTTACATTAGCATCGCTAACACTCAGAGCTAACCTGTACTGCACAGAGCATGTGTGTGAAGAAGCAGGAAATAAAAAGGAACTCACCTTGTGGTATAACCGGCAAGAGAGAAAGCCTTTGAGCTCCATACTGTTTCAGAAATACTCCTTGATAATCCATGATATGGCGTTTCATCACGGCAGAATCTGCCGGTAGAATCTCCCGCATGAGCTCAGCCCCCTCCTCTTTTTTTTGTTATCAACTATAATTTTTTTAAAGCTTTATACCCAAAATCAGCACTTTTGAAACAGGAAGTGAAATAGAGGGATATGAGGCATGGCTAGAATGGTTGATCTGTTTGGTATTTTGAGCAAAACTTCATAGACATGTTTTTTATATATTTTTATAAATCTGAGACCTATGCTATTGCACATACACACATAGGTTACCAAATAAGGAGTGAGAGTGACGAGTAGAAAAACCGGAAGCTGCGCTAACCTCTGGTGGCTACCATTAGCAGCTAGTTTTTTTTCTCCGATTTTGGCATAAAATGGAATTATGGATTATCAATAATTTGTTCAAAGAGACCGACACATTAGTAACCTATGGGTTAACCTCTGGGCGTTTTAATGCCATTGAACACGACTTTTGATCAGAATAACAGCTAAGGTGAGACGATGTCCCGTTTTTTCTCCGTAATGCTCCATGCTGTGATGTCTGTGTTGCTTCCCCTGTCGCGAGTTCTGACCGCTCAGTGATGATACTATACCTATATAATCTGTGGAGTCTCAGCTTTAATCGGATATATTGTATGTGCAGTTACGATAAGTAATAAGTGTATCTTTATCTTGAGTTCTGTGCCAAACTGTCATTTTTCGCTCAGGGGTCATTTCTTCTTATGAGACTTGTGTTTTGTTTTGGTAAAAATGGTTGGTATTGTCAGTTAGCTGAGATTCTTCCCGTTAATCTGGTATTACACATGAATAGGTTTTTAAATGTTAAGAAGCCCTGAGACACAGTCTTGAAAAAAACCTTTCACGAGCGCCTATTGGGGGGGGCCGCTCGTCCTTAAGAGGTTAAGTGATAAAGAAGACTTTTATATTAAATGAACTTACTTTTTTATGATATCTGCCATGGAGACTAAATGGTGCTGCAAAACAACAATCACCTGCATTTAATAGTGTCAAACAGAGATACATAAGATGATTTTGGGGGAAATTAAATCAAACTGAGTTAAAATAGAGTAAAAACAACACAGTGGAAGGCTCCCTGTATGACAATTATTGGACATATCCATGGTGATGTTCAAAACATGTTAACACTGAAAAAATCCATTGTAGTGGAATAGAAACAGAGAGAGAGTAGAGATAGAGAGAGAGAGAGAGAGAGAGAGAGAGAGAGAGAGAGAGAGAGAGAGAGAGAGAGAGAGATAGAGAGAGAGAGAGAGAGAGAGAGAGAGAGAGAGAGAGAGAGCACCGGTACCGGAGATCGTTGTTGTTAGCTTCTGGTGCTAGCGAGCTACGCTAACAGATATAAGGAGCTTTTACAACAAGGTGGAGGAGAGTCCTCTCCTGCCAGACTGAGAGGCTCAGTGAACTAAAGGACTCTCTCAGTGTTTAGATAGTTCACTTTAGTCTAAGTTATCTCAGTGGGTCTCAAACGTTTTGGTCACGATTAATGTAAACATTTCCGAGGCACACGTTTATATGATCATTATAGTTATAAAAAAATAAGAGAATAAATGAAAAACAGGTATGAAATACTATATGACAGTAAAAAAAAGAATAAAGTTTAAAAGGGATTTGTAAAATATCCATAAAGAAATAGTAAATCTGTTTACAGTTCGGTTTCATATGGGTGTTGAGAGGAGTATCCATAGATCTCTTCATTTTGCTCTCAAAGTGCACCAGATTAATGCTTTTAACTTCAATATTTTAAACAAAATCTTGCCGGGGGAGCATCCCCACGGACCCCCCTAGAGGGTGTTAGGCCCACTCCCAACTTAGCACGTTACCCCTGCTTACACCTATATGCCATGAGCTGATTATCGAGCCTTCATTGTAACAGTCGCGGGTACACTGTGTATTTGCGTGGGGATTGTTGCAGTAGAAAATTCCACCATAGCGACCGGTACATTAATGGGAAACCCTAAATGTTTGAGCACCCTCTTGTCAAGCTACCCCACAGCACCCCCAAAAGAAATCTCTGGCGCCGCCACTGAGCCTGCAACCCCGTGTTGAAGAAATGTGCAGTGCAAAACAGGCTCATTGCAGCCACTAATGCTGTGATAAGACTAGGGATGGGTATCGTTTGAAATGTATTGATTCCCATTCCGGTTCCGCTTATCAATTCCGGTTCTTATCGATTCCGGTTCTTATCGATTCCCCGTTTCCATTCCAAAATTGTAAAAGAAAGAGGTCAAACGTTTCGATAACAAAAATATCTTTATTCTTTTAAGCTTTAACTGACATTTTTACAAATAAAAAATATACATGCAAAACAAATGTATTGCACAATAGCTGTGCTTTATTTTAACTGAGCTGTGCCTGTGGCAAGCTATTAACTTGCCACAGGCATTACACTGTGCCTTGTCTTTTTCTTTCTTAGTGTGGTGGAGCCTCGCTTTAGAGCGTTTACCGCGATCCATCTTTGGTGTTATGAAGTGACTGAGCTCGTGAACTGTCTACGGGAGGGCGGGGGGAGCCTCGCTGCGGGGCAACTGTGGACCTCTGTCGCCTGTCAGCGCAACTTACATGATGCGGTTTTAAAAAATTAAGGGCGGCCCGCTGACGGCCGGCCGTTCTGTGATTCTCCAGAACACACAGATGGCCAGTCCGCCCTTACCCTGTATTCCACGGGGTCACCGCGGCGCCGACGGATCCGGTGGAATACAGGGTCTACCGCATTTAGGAACCGTTAAGCAGAACCGAAATTGTGTATTGTGTATTTTCTTATCGGTTCTCATCTGGAACCGAGTTTCGGTTCCCAAGTTCCCATAAGACACTTTTTTACCAAATATCAGCATTTTCTTTCTTTTCATTTTTTTGCACAGACTGCAAAGTATTATAACTTATTGTTCTAGCAAAGGGATTGCACAATTGTATTTATTTTTTTGACCATACAGACTTATGGAGCATTGTTTTATTATCACTGTTCCAGCAAAGGAATGCTCACGTTCATATTGATGTATTTTAATAAATGTTAACTTGGCCCATTACGTGACTATTTGTGTTGGGGGGGCCCAACTTTCTTTTTTTCTCCAAAGAAGGGGCCTGACAGAAAAAGTTTGAGAACCACTGCCCTAATCTGACAAAAATGTGTGACATTTACAAACATGAGCCAATAGCACTTTCATAAAACAAGACACAAGAAGAAAAACATATTCCCTTTGCAACTCCTGGAGTGAAGCAAAGGAGCTATGGAAAACAGTGCAGTCTGAGCACCAGCTTCACCAGGTCCCCAGAATAAAAAATAAAGCAAGCTATGGTCACTCTGAACCGAGGTATAACAACTTTAAACAGTGTGAACCGAAGTGGTAACTTAGGCAGCACAGCTCTGTGGCCCATAGCGTGAGTAGTGCAGACAACAAACACACTATGTATCTGTGTGTGTGTGTGTGTGTGTGTGTGTGTGTGTGTGTGGTGTGTGTGTGTGTGTGTGTGTGTGTGTGTGTGTGTGTGTGTGTGTGTGTGGATAGTAAGAGTATTCTCCTTTCCCTTGTGAGTCCAACATGCAGACCCACTGCCTCTCATTTTTTTTTAAACTGTGTGGCTTTTTGAATTTTTAACAATAAATCCAGTAATGGGTTCAATCAGTCAGACTAAAACACTAGAGATTTGTGTATTATTGTAAATATAGTTGGGAATAAAACATTTGTTGACAGTTACTTTGTATTTGCATGAATAATTAAGTACTAGTTTATAGGAAATGCAGAGCCTATTTATACTATTGCAATATGGATGGATGCCCCGCATTCATTGAGTTGTACAGTCAACAGTCTCCATGATGATGTGCTGCTGGAATAATAGAGGACTCCATCACTGATCCATCACATTCCACGAGAGAGCCACGATCATAGTGATGACTAATACACCAAAACATATCCAACCGTATTACAATGAATTTCCAATGCACTCCTTCCATTAGAAAACTATAAAAAAAAGCGCCACTGTTTACTAAGCATCACATCTGCTCTCTGCCATACGCATTACAGGCAAATCCGCAATATAATTATTAGATGAATGTTAGAAAAAAAATCCCTTGCCTCCCTTTCGGCGTTTGTTTCGGAATAAAAACCAGTGCGTTTGAAACGGGAACAATAACAGTGGCGAAAGAAGGTGTACCTGTCTGCAAATGGCGCTGAATGTGAAAAATGTCAACAAATGATGAGCAGCTCAGTGACGCTGCGTGAACTCACCGATGTGTTCAGGTGCTGCGGAAGAACGAGACGCTGTGGAGGGATGAAGACGCTCAGCGGGATCTATTCCTTATGAGCTCCAGATAAACAAAGTGGTGATTCATGAGCGTTATCCAGCGGCTTTAACAATGTGTAGGTTCCAGAAGCGAGCGAGCGGCCACCGTGTGCGCCTGTGCCCTCGGCGTTGTCTGACAGACAAAAGCAACGCATCCGGGGGCCTTTCTCATTTCACTAATTTCCCCTCCTCGACTCCTATCCTCGACTCCTATCCTCGTGTCTTAGTCCCGCCCACAGGAGATGCGAGCAGAGGAGCCGAGGAGGGGAACCGAGGAGAGAGGAGGGGAAGCAGCAGGCGGTTAGAGAAATGAGAAATCCTCTCCTCTGAGCGGTCATTTTAAAGAGACGTCCATTAACGATGACAGGAGGCACAGCAGCCCTCTGTCTGATGGACAGATGTGCTTATGATGACTTAGTTATATCAAATCAAATCAAATCAAGTTTTATTTATATAGCACATTTATAAACGATTTTTGGTCGAGCCAAAGTGCTGTACATATAATAAAAATAGCCTACAGTAGAGACACTTTACAGCAAATACAACAGCACAGATTGTTCAGAATATCAGTATGAGACACCCTCTGTCCTTAGACCCTCTGTCCTTAGACCCTCACATCGTACAAGGAAAAACTTCCAGAGAAAACCCACAGTTTAAGGGGAACATGGGAGAAACTTCAGGGAGAGCAACAGAGGGATCCCTCTCCCAGGACGGACAGACGTGCAATAGATGCCGTGTGTAAATCAAAGAGATAATACATTTGACAGCATATAGACCGAATGTTAGGAAATGCATGTGTCTGTAATAAGAAGATGAATCCCCGAGGATGTCAGCTACAATCCTGTGGAAGCCATCAGGGAAGCAGCATGACGAGACCCAAGGCAGGACCGCAGAGACACGTTCAGCCACGACCCGAAGTCCACGACTTAATCCAGAACTCAGGATAGAGGATCCAAGACACAGGACTACAGCAAGAGGATCAGCCTCGACTCCGGATCCCGGCATAGATATAGATACAAAACAAGAAAAAAAGATTTGGCTGGGTTAATCGGAACAAGAGAATACATAGACACAGACAGAGAGGGAAAAGGTCATTGGATAAAAGTTATTCTTGATAACCCTCTAGAAAGATCTCATGAACTTCCCCACTCAATCTATCAAGACCTGAGCAGTTCTATTAGAAGTCCAAGGTAAAGGCACAGGCCGGCGCATACCGCTCATGGAATCCCTCACCATATGAACTCTGACCCCTCAAGTGTACAAGTGAAGAGACACCATGTGTCAGCTCCTTTTTAGAATAGTATTTCTTCTCTTCTCATAGAAACAAGGGTATGAAAAGAACAGCCAGAAACAGAGGAAGAGAGGCACAACGTGACTACGTAAATGCACTCTCCTAAATATTAAATGAGTAAGAGGTGAAGAAACACAAAGCCAGAAATTGAAATGAAAAGGCACCATCATGCTTCCCCTTAGAATAGGGTGGAAATTATGAAGACCCAAATTATAAAGAGGGGACATGGGATACTAGTGAAGAGAGACAACAGTGAAAACAGATATGTAATATTTAATGCGGCCGAACCGTGTATTACAATGCCGTTATGTGATGACTTCCAAAGAGAAAAGCAAGAACACTCGGAATAAAGTATTATTTAATTTTTTCCGATTTCATATCAAATAAACACCATATCCCGACATGCATTGCGGCTAAAACAATCAATGTTTTAGCCTATCAAAACCTCTGAAAAAAGAAAGGTGTCTCTCAGAATTGAAAGAGAAAAACCTGGGGAAAACACAAAAGCATTGTTCACAATTTAAACCAATACATGTCGTATAATTAACAAGGATAAACTGATGTTTTTTAGTGGATGAGTACTGCACTGTTAAATCATTTGATCATTGGTTTTATTATGAAAACGTCGAGACCGGAAATACTGTTTTCAACCCGTAACTTTACATGGAGGCTGCCGCATACCTCAAATCATCCTCGTAATATCTATCAAACTATAGATCCTACATATCGACTGGACGTGGATTCTAAAAGTACAATATACACTTCTCGCCAGAAATCTAATCAAAAAGTGTTTTAATTGCCAAACTATCCTACAATTTAGGATTTTACAGAGAGGGTTATTTGTGAATAAACGACCATCTGTAACGTTAGCATTCAACGGGAGCACTAGAGGGCGAAAACTTTAAAACATAATTATAGAATGTATTAAGCGCTTAAACAAACGACATATTTGGTCGTAATAAGGTCCTGAACAATCGGCCCATTTGGTCGTTTGAGTTGGAGGACTTGTTGGTATAATGAGTTATTTAAGATAAGATGGCGCATTAAGGGCTTTGTAGGCAAGAAGGCAAGGCAAGGCAAGGCAAGGCAAGGCAAGGCAATTCAAAGTGCTTTACAAAAAATGAAAGACATTAAGAAAATGGCATCTAAAATCAGTCATTAAAAAGAAAAGCTAATAAAGAAGAATTGTAAATGATATCCTGTGTTCTATAGGGAGCCAGTGTAAGGCAGCCAAAACAATGAAATCGTAACTCAGGATTGTGTTGTTGTTTGAGGTGCAATATACGAAACAGCAGCTTTTAGGCATGAAGAAAATATTGTTTTCCGCTTGGCGCCGATGCCTTGTTTTCACCAGAGAGTGGGCGGGGCCTTCATTTCACAAAGAAGTGACATAGCTCAAATGTTCAAAGTTCAACTTTTTTTTTTTTTTAACCTACTGTTACCAAGAACAAGACTGAATTTGCAGGCTCGACTTGTGGTATTAAATATATCAATCTCAATAAATACATTTATAAATATATTAACATTTCAATTATGCATTATATAAATATCACATACAAATAATTGTATTAATAAGTAAAAAATGTAGTTCTTTGTTTGTTAATTCTGTATAATGTATGTTCTGTATAACATTATTTATTTATTATTTATTTTATTATTATATTAGTAATATCATTAATAATGATATTATTGATATTTCTTTATTATATACTTTATTTCATTGATTGTGCCAATGAAATAAATAAATATGCAATTAATTAGGTGATAAATAAATGAAAAAATGTATGTTATTTTATATAATGAATGAAGGACTGTGATCAGTCCCCTGGCGCTGGGTTTGTGCTCGCTGAATTCAATAGCCACATTTAAACAAATATGTATTAATGTGTTTATTAAACAACAGTGACGCGTTAATATACTTATTCACATTTATTTATATACATTTATTTTCTATTAAAGGATTTATTTCACAGCCAATTTTTATTTCATAGGCATCTTAATTTATTGATATAGTCATTACATTTTTCAATATTTACGGCAGTAGTATTCCTGACTCCTGAGCCCACATACAAGCAAGTGTTGATCAGATCTTCTGTTGCTGATTTGTGCCTAGTTATATATATTTATTATTATTGATATTTGCTGTGAATTAATATGCAGCACAAACCGAATCCATTTGACATTTTCTTTGGATAGATTTATATTTGTAATGTATCATAACTAATCAAACATACACCATAAAAGTCAATAAGTAGATTGGTACAAAAAATCTAAAGGAGAGAATAAAAGAAGCTGAACGTTTAAATACCCAGCCTGTAAGACAGCGTGTAGGGCATACATTCCCTGTTACACACCCTTTGGCTTCCCCTCCCTCGCACAGGGGGGTGGGGTTTTGTATGTAATGAGGCAAGAGTATTTGTGGAAGCGGCCAATGGGAGCAGTTTGGGGAGCAGTATGCTCCAATCACAGCTCAGAGCTGCTGCCCATGGCAGGGCTCCACCATCAGTAACCAAGGATCCCTGTGCCATTAGAATCAATGCATCCATTTCACTCAGCACTAAAACAGTGCATCAGTGAGAGTGAGTAGGCTGAAGTCATTTAAGGTCATTCATAAAGATGTGACTTCAGGTCACAGCTTCCTTCTATAGCTGCTATCATTCGGCAGCGAGGGACATTCCCGCATTAGTTTGTTACATAACAGACTCTGCAAGGCTTACATTCTGAGTGCATGTCAAAGAAGGTTCTGTCATAAGATATGGCAACCTTTAATGAATAACATGAAAAAACGTTTTAAGAAGAGGGCATACACCACAGTACGGAGCTGGATGGTGTCTGTTGTTACAATGCAATACACAGCTTACAGCGAGGGGGGGTCTTTAAAGGAATAGTTCAAAATCTTGTAAAATATTCCTATTGATTTTCTTTCTAATAGATGGATGAAAAGATGGATATCAGGTTCATGTCCTGATAAGGACAAGGGTCATATAACCCTCACATATTAAGGCCCTGTTCCGGGATGTTGTGTCTCATCAAATGTGTTAGTTATGTTTGTATATGTCTGTCATTCCAAGTCTAGTCAGGTATTTATGTCAAGTCAGGTTTTCATGTTATTTCACGTCATGTCATGTCTGTCTATTTATGTCATTCATCTCTAGTCAAGTCCCTGTGTTTCATGTCATGTCTCGTTTTCCATTTTCTGTTTTATTTTGTACTTACCTCTTGTCTTTCATTTCAGGCCCTGTTACTTCCTCCCTTTGTGTGTTTTCCCGACATCGTCAGCTTCTGCTCCGCTCCTGATTGTTTCCGCCTGTTCCCACTTACCTCATGTTTAAATAGTCCTTGTCTCCCTTTGTCTTGTGCCAGTTTGTCTTGTTTCAGTGTGAGACCCAGCGTGTTTCCAAAGAGAAGAGTTTTGTTTTGTAGTTACCAAGAGCTTTATTGTTGTCCTCGCAAGAGTGATATTTTTGTAGTTACCAAGAGCTTTATTGTTGTCCTCGCAAGAGTGATCATTTCTTTGAACTTTGTTTATTTTCTCATTAAAGAGTGAGTTGTTGCATTTGAGTCCAGTATTTTTCTACCACGTTTTAACACGACGGGATCAAGAATATCTGAAGATATTTATGAATGCTTATGGGCTGACACAGTGGGTAGTGTGTCCCTCACCATCAATACTTTTAGCTGCGATCAGGGAGATTCCCAGTCGATCGCGAGATGTGTCTAAAAATAGAATAACAATATTCTGTTTTCATCGTTAACGTACTATAACATAATCTTCCTGTGCCAGAATAATGCACTTGAACGCATCAAAGCTTTGTGATTGGCCGGCCTGACCCCATGTTTCGGGGCGTGGCTGGTGGGCAGTGGGCATAGTTTGCTGACATTGTCCGTGTTCTCAAAACAGCAGTTCTCAGCAGTTCTCAAAACAGCAGCATCCAACCGTC